ACCAGAAGGAACTGGGCGCCTGGTGGCACCGTCTAGAGGGGAGCTTTTCCAGTTGTATGCATGGGGAAAAAGCTCCCCTCCCCCACAAGTCTTTGAGGCTGCTCCCACTAAGCACCTTTAGGGCAAGAAGGGGAGCCAAGACGAGGCACATCCTTTGTAAAAAATTAAGATGGCATCGCCTACACTGCCATCAAAGCTCTACGGTTTTCTAGTATGTCTTGCACATAAAACACAGGCAGAGCTTCGGTCGTGTTGTCATGGCTTCGATGTCTTGGATCATCCTGTGGACACATCTGGACAAAGGCCTGTTTTCCCCCAACTCAGCTTGCAAAAGACGCCTTTCTCAGATGGGGAGAAATGTTCAGTGGATATCAAGCACAATAAACAAGACAAAATCTAAGTTACCCTTTAATGAGCAATTCCTTGCCCATTAGGCACAAAAGACCAGGCCTACACATGAAGGTCCAATTAAACTGATTTACTGCTAATTATGGCCATGTCCAGGAATCTTCTCAGCTCACGGTTTGCACCTGCTAGGAGTTAGATAAGGTTCAACGGAATCCAAGGGAGGTTGGACTTAGTTCACTTCTGGCTATGTAGGGATTGTAGGCTGGTCCCTCTGCCCACAGGCTCTGCCACTCCTTTCCCTGTGCTGCTATAACCTTTGGAGATTGTGTTGAGAGCCTTTGCTTCCTTTTCATAAAAGCCCCTTAAAGATGAAACTAATTGCGTCAGGCCTTTGGAAATACCTGCTGCAAACTGGAAACCGTCTTAGTTTATAAGAACTTCTGGCTGGAGAAATAAAATAACTCACCCTAACCGGGATATTTGCTTGGAAATGGCTTAACCAGGAAGAATTCCACGATCAAATTTGAAAATTCAGATAGGGGGCTGCTGCTCTCTTGTGGCCAATCACCAGAACTGCTTCAAATAAAGCTTCCAAGCAGAGTAATACAATAAATAATAAGCAGGTTTGTGACTCAGCTGGTTTAATCATGATTTCCTGAATAAATCACAAGCGCCTGAATTAACAGAAAACTGTAACCATAGGTTACAGTTTAGCAACATCACAACAGCAGAGAGTGCACAGCGTGCCTGAGCCAAGCCAAGCCAAATAACTTGGGTGTGGAACTTTTAATCCGTTTTGGGCCACACAATTTGGAAAGGACACTGAAAAGCTGGAATGCTTCCAGAACAGGACACCGAAGACACTCTAGGAGGAGAAACGTATGGGGAAGGGTTATGCCTGGTCTGGGGAAGAGGAATTGTCTGCAGAGAGACAATCGCTGCCTTCAAGAATCTCAAGGACTGCCCGATAGAGGGAAGAATCCCCAAAGGCACCCCACTGATTTTTCATGCTCTACTGCAGGGGTCTCCAAACTTGGTAACTTTGTGGACGTCAATTCCCAGAATTCCCCAGCCAACCATGCTGGCTGAGCAAGTCTGGGAGTTGACGTCCACAAGTCTTACAAGTCACCCAGGTTGGACACCCCTGCAGCCTAGCAGGAAAAATCAGCTAGGTGATTTTGGGTCCGTCCAACCCCCCTCACAGGATTGTTGTTGTGGGGAAAAGAGAGGGCAGGAGGGGTATTAGGTATGTTTGCTGCCTTGAGCTATTGATAAAAAATAACAAAGGCAGGATAAACCTCTAAAAATAACATAGAGGAGAGGACTAACCCTGGCCTGGATCGTTCTCTTCTCCAGACTAATCTTGCATGCAGCTTGCTTAAAAGGCCTGGGTCAGACTCAGCCCCCCCCCCTCACAGACCACAACAAAAACCGATTCCATCACAAGTATGAAACTCCACTTACAACTACAAGGAGAAAATTGTGTAAATCTGATTGTGATGCGAAATCTCCCCTTGCTTCCCAGAGCTTAAAGTTTCAGACTCCTTGGCTGAAGGGAGGGAGGGGGGGAGGTTTCTCCAACCAGGAAGGCTGATCCACACTACAACCAGCCATGTTGGTGCAGCAGGGCACCCGTGCCCACTGCGGTTCTTCTGCCAGGGATAGCCTTCCTCCCTGGCTCAAAGGGTCTTTGCCTGCCTGTGAGCGAGAGAAGAACCTTTATGGGGAGCAGATTTCAGAGGGTGACCCTTGAGACAAAATGACAAGACAGCCTCCCTGCCCCCTTCCTCTCGCCTGGTTTCTCTGGGAGCCTCTCGGGACTGGCAGCCACTCGAGTAGCCCAAACAGTCTTCCAGCTTCTGCAACAGAGCTGAAATCCCGCTTCCTGTTCCTCCAGCCACAGGGAAGTGGGCCGGGGGCCTCGGCTGCCCTTCTAAGCCCCCAAGAGATGCTTCAGGATGAAAACAGGCAGAGGAAAAGCTGCGGCAGGCAGGAAGTGCCCCATTGTCTTGGAGGTGCCTCAACCTGGTTGAGTCATGCAGCCCTTTGGCTCGGATGCTTCCAAGCCCTTCGGAAGACGAGTGCTGCACAAGGGCTGGTTCTAAACCCAAGTTACAAACTGCAATAACTTTATTCACAACCAGCTGGACCTGAAACCACCGACCTCCGATGCCCAGGCGCAAGTGGGCCACAAGCAGGCATTTGTGGCACCGCAAAGGCCTGCAATGACTAGATAAAGTTGGCTACTTGAAAGGGGATTTACTTATTTCTTGCCCAACCGAAATACCAGTGAAAATTTAGTGCCATTTAAGGGGAGGTTGCAGAAGTGGATGGGTGGTCTTTTTTATTGAGTATTTTACATTTTAAAACCAAACACACAATAGCAAAAGAAATCAAGAGACAAAAACAAAAAACAAAAACACACGTACACCAGACGATAAAATACAATACTAACAACAGATATATACAATTTTACAACTTTCTGCATCAACTTTTGTTTTGGTGTGATGGGTGGTCTTAAAAGCCAGCGGTCCCCAATCTTTCCCGCTGGGTGGACCGGTGTGTGTGTGTGTGGGGGGGGAGAGGGCATGGTTCTGAGTGAGTGGCAGGCGTATGCGAGCGCAAGCACCTGCCACTTGTGCAAACGGAGCTGCACATGCTTGCCCGGCCTGGTTCCGAAGGGGCCACTCCCCAGGGGCTGGAGACCCCAGGGTCTTAAGGAGCCCAGAGCCTCTGCACTGTCTTTTGGGGCGTTGCATCCTGTGGTGGGTGAACACAGCCTCTCCTGTTTGTAAGCCAGGATGGCAAAGCAAAAGGTGGGGAACCTCTCCCCCCAAAAGACTGCTGGGTGAAGAGTTTTAGGAGGAGGAATCCTCTCTACTGGATCCCATTTATGATCACAGCTTCCTGGGATCTCTTTCTCCTCGAGACGTTCCTGGGGGCCAGGTCAGAGGGGAGCTCCAGAGTCCAGGGATGGCCGGCTGCCTTGTCAACGCTTCAGCCCCTCAGCGACTCCCCTGCCCTGGGTCTATTTGCTGTGACCCACCAAGGGAGCCGCCTTGATCCTTAGCCAAGGAGGGGCCGCTTCTCAGCACAAAGACCTTCACGGTCCGCCAACAAGACAAACAGCAGGTGAGGAAGCACAAGGCTCAGCATGCGTTGTTTGATTTTAGGATTTTGTGGTCACCTGAGCTTGGTTTTACATAAAGGTTCCCAAATAAATGCCCTGGAGTTGCAGAAATGGTTGTCACACACATACAGAGCCCTAGAACAGGGGTTTTCAAAACCAGGCAACTTTAGAACTTGTGGACTTCAACCCCCAGAATTCCTCAGCCAGCATGAAGCCGACAAGTCTTAAAATTCCCAGGTTTGGAAACCCCTGCTCTAAAATGAAAACAGCCAGGCAGTTTTGGGGCTCCAGAGGGATCCATTGCCAGTTATCCATTCCCCTCCTGGCTGAGCTCAGCTCCGCCTGCCAGTTGGGGGGGCTCCAGCCTCCGAAGCCTGGACAGGACTCCAGGAACCCCAAGGGAATGCCAGAGGGGCAGCAGTGGGAGAGCGGCTGAGCAGGGAGGGGCTGCAGACCTTCGGCCTGTCCAGACTCCAGAGGAAGCAGCACCTGGGCAGGTGAGAGCATCTCCAGGCCGACTGCCCTCTGCTCAGCATCTGTTTCTAGCTAGGAAAATCAAATGAGCCAGGCCCTTTGATGGGCCCTTGGCACAGGGGTGAAATGCTCCCGGTTTGGACCGGATTGCCCGATCCGGTAGTGATGGAGGCGGGTGGTTCGGAGAACCGGTAGCAAAAATCCCCGCCTCCCCCCCAGGCCCAGCTGAGCCCCACAATCATCAGGCTTCTACAACTTCGGCTGAAAAAATGCTTTTAAAAGTAAAAAAAAAAAAAAGCCTCTGATGATTGCCCGGTTCGTCAAAGGCATTTAAAAGAAAAAAAGGGGTTTTTTCTTTTAAATGCTCTGAGGATCCAAGCTGAGTTCCCTGATCGGCAGAAGCTTTTGAATGCAGTTTTTTACAACCTCTTAGCCGAAGAGGCGGTAGAAAAAATGGTTTTAAAAGTTTTTTAAAAAATTGGCCACGCCCACATTACAACCCCCCACCAAGCCACGCCCACAGAACCGGTAGTAAGGAATGTTAGATTTCACCCCTGCCGTGGCCCCGCCCATCCTGCCCCTCCCGGCGGTCCGAGGGGGGGGGGAAGGGTGGGGGGGCAGCTCCGGCCGCTCGGGGCTCTTTCCCCTCCGCCTCCTCCCCCCCACCCCCCGGTTGGCTTCAGGGCGCCCCCCGCCCGTCCTCGGGTGGCTCTTTCTTGGGGGGGGGGTTATTCCCGCCGCTCTTCCCAGCCGGGGCCGCTGCTTCCCCCGCGGGCAGCGGAGCGGACGAGCCCGGCCTCCCCAGGGCGGCGCCGGAGCCCAAGAGCGCCTCTGAGCGCGTACAGAGAGCCGCCCGCGCATCAGCTCCCGGCCCGCGAGCCCCGCCCCGCTCCGCCCCGCCCTGCCCCAGGGGGCGTGTCCGGAGCCGGCGGCCCCTCTGCCGGCCGCCCATTGGCCGCGCCGACGCCCCGCCCAGACGGCCGCCGGACCCCCCCCCGCGCCCTCCCCGCGGCGTCGCCCGTAGCGACGGGGTCTCCCGCGCGGCGCCCGAGGGGTCCAGCCCCGGCCTGGCCGGCGGGCATGCGGAGCGCGGGCGCGGCCGGGAGGAAGCAGCGGGCGGCACCGGCCCTCCTCGCCCCCGCCGGCCGGCGCCATGTCCCTGCTCTGCGTCCGCGGTGAGTCCGGCCGGGGCCTCGGGGGGGGGTGGTCGGGGGGGCTCAGCGCTGGGGGGGCTGAGGGGGGGCGGGCGCCCGCGGGGACCCCTTCGGGGGAGGGAGGGGGAGGGGCTGAGGCGGCGCTGGGGGTCTCCGCCCTCCCCCCTCCCTCCCCCCTCCCGCCGCCTTCGCCCCTGCAGGGGACGCGCGGGGGACGGGCGGAAGCGGGGCGTCTGCGGCCAGTGGCGGAGGCTGCGGAGGGGGTCCCGGGCGGCTTCCCCGCAGGGCAGCCTGGACGGAGCCGCTTTCCGTGGGGCAGCAGCCCAAGAGCCTCGGGGCCCGCTGCCTTCGCGGGGGGGGGCTGTGTGCGTGTGGGGGGGGCGTTGGCGTTGGGGGCTTCCGGGGGCCCAGGGGGGGGCTCTGCCCGGAGAGCCTGGGCCTGGGGGGGGGGCTGCTCCCTCGTCCTCTCCTCCGGGCCCCGAGACCTTCGGGAGGCGGAGGAGCCCCCGTTGCCCCCCTGGAAGTCCTGGAGGCCCCTAAAGTCCCGGCCCCTCCCTGGCCGGCGGGTGAAGGATTTCCGCCCGGGAGAGGGGAGGGGGCTGCCGGTGGGGCTGGAGCCCGAGCGGCGTTGGGGATGCAGAGTTTGGGGCTGGGCTGCCTGGGGGGGGCTGGGGTGGGGTGGGGGGGGATGCTGAGTCTTGGGGAAGCCCCGACTGAGAGGCCGGTTCTGGGTGAGGGAGAAGGGAAAGTGGGGGGGGGGGTGTCTACCCTGCCAAAGGTGGCCAGAAGCACCGGCCGGCGTCGTCTCTCTGCATTGGATGGCAGTCAATATCCTGGTGATTATTTGCTTGTATTAAAACTGGGCAGGGCTTGGAAATGCCTCCTGCCTGAGGAAGCTCCTTCTCGGCCTGGGTCTCCCCGGGGTGGCCCAGCCCCCCATCTGGACGGAAGGCCTTTGCCTGAGGGTCAGGAGGAGGTCCGGAGCATCTGCCTTCAGGGCCGGAGACTGGCAGCTCCAGGGTCAGGGATGCAGCTGGCACTCAGTCCGCAGTTCCACTTCAACCCTTTGCGTGGGACCCCGAGAGAGTGGGGAGAATTTGAAGCCTGGCTGCCTTTCGGAGGCTGAAAGAGGGGTGGGGGGGGGGGGACTCTGGAGCAGCCGAGGCATTCCCCATTCTGGGGGGTTCCTTTCCTAGCACAAAAAGGTCTAGGCCTTCGGCCCAGTTGCCTGTGGGGGCCTTCAGGGGTCCCGCTGCCAGGATTCTCCTGGAAATGACCCCTCCAAGAACCTTTGAGCTCCGCTGAGGGGAGACTTTAGGGGTCCTGTGGAAAGGAGGCCACTAGGTGCCCCTACTTCACGTGGAGATCATGCAGTGAGGTGGTCTCCTTCTCCTCTTTTGTTCTCCCGTTGGCGTGGGGAGGCTGGCTTGTCTCTTGGGCAGGTGGAACTGCCAACCCCGCTCCCTGGGCCCCTTCCTTCCCTCCCGGAAGGATTTACGGGGCCTTGCTAGGCAGTGGGGTTGAGAGGACTGGCTCTCTTCCTCTCCTGCATCGCTGGCTGCAGAGGCGGCAGGGTTGGGGGGTCTGCTGAGGGGGCCACGTGTCCTGGCGCCTGGACACGGGCAGGCAGGCAGGCGCTCAGGATCAGCACCTTGGGGAGGCTGCTTCCGCTGACCCAAACTAGGAGCTTGGTGGCAGCCTCTGGGCTCCGCAGCCTTGCAAGAGGGGCCTGTGCCCAGGAGCTGCCTGTGGGTCACAGGGAAGACGGGCAGAACTCCTGGCGGCTGGGGGTCTCCGTGCTTTTACCCTTTCAAAAGCCTGATGCCGGGAGACAAGCAGCCCCAAAGCGCATAGCTCAGTGTCTGTGGAGGTGCTCAGCCCTCATCCAGGTGATGGTTGTCCCCAAGGTGCTTTTTCCAAGAGGCAGCCGGACTTTCTGGTTTTCCTTTGAAGACGTTTTGCTTCTCATCCAAGAAAAGCTCCTTTGGGACAAGCAACCCCCGAGCCTCCCCCTCCGCCTCCCCCAACTGCCTTCCTTCCCACCTTGAAAGCTTCCGTGGGCTCTGGCACGGGAGGCAGGAGGATCCCTTGGGGGGCAGGTTTTTCTGAGAGGGAGACTGGCCAGTAGGGAGGCCTGGAGGGGGGGTGGGGGTGGGGGGAGAAGAAAAGGCTTCTTCCGTTGTGGCCCTTTCCTTACAGACGGGATTCTCCGCTCTGCCCTGAGCTAAGCAAATCTCTTTGTTACATCATCATATCACGGAATGAGTTCTTTGTCTTTTGACTTGTTGTTAATAATTTCGTCCTTGTAATCCTCTCTGAAGTGGGCTCTGACCTTGCACAATTCTGACAGGCAGGGATTTTTTAAAACGGGAATGTAAAATTTCAGGAAGAAGGAAGGCAGAGGTCCCTGGGGATGTGCCCCCCCCCCAAAAAAAACGATCCTTGGCATTTCCAGGCCACTCCTGAATTCGACCCCCTCCCCTCCCGCTCAGGAGAATGAGGTGCCCCTTGCAGACCGAGTGGCTCCCCTCCAACTATCGCTGGGGAGGGGAGAGGGCAGTGCAGGATCCTTGGCACGTGCTCTGGAAGACAAGACCCAAAGGAGTAAGAAGTTCAGATTGGGAGGGAAGAAAGGGGGTGCTCTCCATGGCTGTCCCACGGGGGCTTTTCCAAGAGGCAGCCGGACTTTCTTGGTTTGTTCTTGGAAAACCTTTCCCTTCTCACCCAAGAAGCTTCCTCAGGAGAAGAAGTTCAAAGAAAAAAACCCCAAGGAAGTCTGGGTTCTGTGGGACTTTTTCTCCCCCCCACCCCCCCACCTTCTTTTAACGGAAAGAGCCCTTCAGCTGTGGAACGTTTCAGTGAAGGCAGCAACCGTGAATCCCCACACTCAGCAGGGGGTCGGACTAGATGATCTCCAAGATCCCTCCCAAGCCTTCTGAATAATAAGCCATTAAACCCAGGGCCACGGATGGTCTCTCTTGGAACAAATGCCCTGATTAAATGGGCATCGCTTTGGAGATGGAATTGTGCCTAAGGAACAAGGAACCTTAAGCCCGTCCTTCCCTCGGAGTAAAGACGAGGAAGCTGCTTCTCTTCCTCCTCTGCCTTGGCTGGATTCCCGGCTGCCAGAGTTGCTGCGGGGGGAGGAGGAGGAGGAGGAGGAGGAGGAGGAGGAAGGGGGGGCACGAGCCCTCAGCCTCCGCTTTACTCCCAGGTTTACGCAAAGCAGAGACTCCCAAACATTTTCCATTCGGAGTTGTTGGGGGTCAGGCAGGCGTACGCATTAGATAAATATTACTGGCTTTTTTTCCACATTGCCCTTAGGCCAGACCTGTTGGGTGCATAGCTGAAAAACCTTTTGGGGGGTAGGAATTGAGCCAGTCTGGCCTTGGGGGACGGGAGGGAGGGGGAAGAGACTTTTGAGGTTCTCTTATTCTGCAGTAGAGTAGAGAGCATTCCTCAATTCTTCACCAGGCCTCCCTCGAAGGGCTGACCCTCTGTCCCCTGAAGCCTGCAGGAGTTTTTGGAAGGTTCCCTTTTGTTTAGCACTAGCACTTAGACTTATGTACCGCTTCATAGTGCTTTACAACACACTCTGGCTGGTTTACAGGGCCTATTGCCCCAACCATCTGGGTCCTCATTTTACCGACCTCGGGAGGATGGAAGGCTGAGGCAAGCTTGAGCTGGTCAGGATTGAACTGCTGGCGGTCGGCAGAGTCAGCCTGCAATGGTGCATTCTAAGGCAAGGCAAGAAATAATAGATGGAAACTAATCAAGGAGAGAAGTGACCAGGAATTGAGGAGAAACTTCCTGACAGGGAGGACAATCAATCAGTGGAACAGACGCTGCCATCAGAGGTTGTGGGGGCTCCATCGCTGGAGGTTTTTAAGAAGAGACGGGACAGCCACTTGTCTGAAATGGTGTAGGGTCTTCTGCTTGAACGGGGTTGGACTAGAAGACCTCTAAGGCCCCTTCCAGCTCTATTCTGATTCATTCATTGATAAGTTTTAAATAATTGAGTAAATTGTGTAGTGATTTAATACTAATTCCAGGTCTGGCGCAAACTGGGTTGTCTTGCCAACACCGGCACCTCTTAGAAGCAGCTTCAGAGTTGAAGCTGAAGCTGAAGCCCCCCTCCCCGCCTTCTGTGACCTCCTGATGAGCAAAGTCAAGGGAGAAGCCAGATTCACTTAACAACCGTGTGACTGACATAACAACTTCATTGATTTACTTAACAACCGTGGCAAGAAAAGTTGCAAAATGGGGCAAAACTCAGTTAACCAATGTTTCACATAACGGAAATGTTGGGCTCACTTGTGGTTGTAAGTCGAGTACTACCTGTACTCGACCTTGGATCTCCGGGCCCTTTCCCAGGCAGTATCAGTTGTTGTTTTTCGTTTTTCTTTTGGTGTAAACCATTGGGAGATTCATGGGCATGAAAGGAAGGCATCTATTGTATGCCTGAAGTAAATTATATGTCCCACTTCCTTAAGATCTCTGCCTGGCTTGTAAAGATATTGTAAAAAACACCTGTAAAATCAGCTTTGCCACGGAAAGGAAAACTGGAACATGCAAACAAGAAAAGGCCTGAGCGAGCAGCTCTTAATCTGTGCGGAGGGGCGTCTCTGCCTCAGTGCCCCAGCAAGTTAGTCCAGGCTCCATTGCAGAAGCAGCCGAATGTGGGTTGGCCCTAGGGTGCTCTGCGGTGGGGCCTGCCAGTTGCTCCCTCGAAGGGCAACCCAGAGAGGGAGCAGCAGCCCTCGGGGGAGCTGGGGTCTCTGCCTGGGGGACCCAGGACAGCCGCAGGAGGGCTGGGAAGCGGAGCAGCAGAGGCCTCCCAGGGTGATCTCCCAATAGGCCACAGGGGCCAAGCGGTGCCCTCGACCCACCAGGGGCCCTAGAGCTGTCATAGGTCACTCTTGCCAGGACTGGAACTGACACAATGTGGGGCAGAGAAAGGGGTCTTTTCCCAGAAGAGGACGGGTCCCAATTGGTGTGATGGAATTGTGCAGACAGGGTGG